AGATCTCAATCACCAACTGGTTGACGTCCCGAGGTACCCAGCGTTCGTAGTTTCAAGCGTGGAATCAAGTCTGGCCGATGATGTTGCGGCGGCCAAGTTTAGAGAGGAGCGACACGGGACTGAACGGCCCGAAGAGTTTTCGACGGAACGAGATCTTGCATATGATGGAAGCAGCTGATAGGTTGTCACTGACAACTTGCTAATGATCCTGCTGGCAGCAGGTCAAAGAAAAGTGATCATAGTATCGCCCAATAGCGATGTGAAGTCTGAGGTCTAGGCTGATTATAGCCGTCCATTGAGACATGCATAATGCCGATTCATCAGCTGAGAACTGTAGACCTTTTTTGAACCCATGAAGATGATTCACCATTCAGGTGCTGCAGCAGCGGCTCCTCTCCCGCTGTTCACAGTAGTAAGCGCCCGCGCTCTCCCGAAGAGTCAGTCATGGAACTTTATCGGACATCGAGAAATCTGATTATCTTTGCACGGGCTGCAGCGCCTCCCTTCCTACGGTGCCTCGTGCTCAATGACTCTTCTTCATTCCCGAGTTGACGAGGTCTTCTTCTCTAGCTGAGCGAAGTGCGATGGGTTTGATGGTTTTCTCGATCTTGACCCCCGCCGCGCATTAGCCACCCGTTCACTGTCGTGCAGCTGACTAAGGGGGAATCCTGTGCGAGGTGTTCCTTAGCCTCCTCGGAAAACTGACCCCACTGCCAGGCTTGCATACGGTATGTCCTTTTGGTATTCCTATTGTTGTGTTACTGTGATTCATCATGACAAATTTGAACATCAAGTTTCTTCAATGTCGACGCCCGGTATATTCGAGTCGTTGAAAGCGCGCCTCAAGTCGGACGAACAGTGTGTGGAGGTCAGCTGCGATGACTATGAAGTGAAGCCGACCCCAGGCATAGTGTAAGGGACTCCATCGACGAGATCCTAGTAACGCTGTTATTTGTCAGGTATCCTCCTAATCGTGCCGAAATAGGAAGAGCGTATTGGCGATATATTCACAGTCGAGCTCCTTTTGCGGTGAGTCGTGATGATTTGCCTCCCTGCTCTCCGCCATGAGTTTCATCGAGGTGTTTGGGACAGCCGCTTTGTTAGGTGGTGCCAGGTGGCCAGCCCAGTTCAGTTGGCCCAGAGAGGCCTCGCCCCACTGAGATGGATTGGTTAACCTCTTTGATTGAGGTGTACCCTTGTCGCCATTGTGCCGATAGTTTTGTTGACATTTGCTGTGAGATGCCGCCTCAGGTGAGCTCTCATTTTTATCAAATTGATATGTTCGGCCGTTGGTAGGTTTCTTCGACTGATAAATACACATTGTGGTGGTGCAAGGCTCATGATGCCGTGAACTCCGAGCTTAGCAAGCCCTTGTAAGTGGCTCTTACTTTGCAGGGCTGATATCAGTGGGAAAAGAGAACTGTCAGGTTTGGCGAGAGATGTACGGCGAAGTTTCTCCCAGCTATGCGAGAGGCAGCTAAGAGAGGCTTGACACTAGACGAGTATGATTCTTTAATAGGCAGTAAATAACTGTTTCGATAGCGGCAACAGAGTTTATCTTCACAGTGAGAGGGGGTCGCATCTGGTCCGAAGAGGTACTCCTGTGTAGACGCTAACATACCTCACTTTCAGCAAATCACAACAAAAGCAATTTGATATCATCAATCGTGACAGAGGTATAGCACTTGCTAGAACACTTGAAAGGAGTTAAGAACTATAACATGAACAAACCAGTAAAGCGAGGCCTATGAATAACTCACCTCGTCGTATTAATCTCCATAATTTACTTCAATCATCACATTGGGTGACAAGAGCACTTATCATCTATTG